TTTTAAGATACTAGCTCATAAAGCTTATCCGGATAATTTTTCAGATTTAGATGTGTATTTTACTGACTTATTTACATCATGTTTGAATATTGAGATGTCTAAATTTGTCACTTTCAAGCACCCTCATAGTTTAGACGAGGCTTTATCTCTAGCCGTGGAATATGAAGCTGTTCATTTTTCTGGTGATCCAGAGACTAAAAATAAGGCAGAAAGATCAGATTTTGTTTACACTGTTCATAAAAGTCTTGAAATTTTGATAAATGTTTTGAAGAGACGAGTTAAATCAGGGAGGAAACGTAAACCTAAGAAGTATTATAAATGTCATCAATCAGGTCATGTCAGGTCTAAGTGTCCAAATATTTCTTTTAGAGTTCATGCTAGAGATGAAAGGACTGCAGATAGTCAAGTGAAATTCTTAAAAATAGATGGTATATTAATGAACGATTTGAATCGCAATTTTTTGTTGTTCAGATTGTGTTACCTTTGTTTAATGTTTGTTTTTACATTGTGCTGTTTATATAAAGTTTTACTTTAGATTTATTTCAATGTATTCAGTGATGTTACACTTCTCAGTTTTGGCTGTTTGGTTTTCTTGTTCCAAGGGAGTGATGTCGTGCATCTCATCTTGTTATATTTTTCATTTTTATTATCTGAATTATGGCTGATATTCTGTGTAGTTTGAATTGTAGACTGTTATCTAGTTTTAGTAGGAATTGGTTTGTTTTATGAGTTGTTTCTCGTTTGTCTAGTTTGTTATTTCTAGCCAAATATTTAGTATTTAGAGAGTTTATGGAAATCCGACTTCTTGACTTTTGTTAGTCATGGCAGAAACCAATAGATTGAAAGGTAAGCTTCAAGTTAGGAACACTTCTAGCTCATACAGATGGATCTGATGCATTATTTAGAAGCTTGCACAAAATTTGGGCATCGTCCATTTTACTTTGAGAACCTTGCTAAAAAAAAACGGTGGGCGTCGTCCTACTTTATTTTGAAAACCTTGCATACAGATGGACCCGATCCATCTCCGGTGGTACACAATTTGTGCTACCGTTATCAACAACGCTGGAATGCAGAAATAGGACCCGGTGGTACACGTCAAATGTGCCTCTGTGAGATCAACAGTGGTGGAGATTACCTGGTAAAACTTAAATTACAAGACAAGGTATGTTGTGCAGATCAAAAACAGTATTTTTTGTTTAGCTATATGGTGCTTTCAATCGGTGGCACAAAGTCTGTGTTACCGTTATCAACAACGGTGGGGTGCAGTAATAGGACCCGGTGGTACACGTCAAATGTGTCACTGTGAGATCAACATTGGTGGACATTGCCTGGTACAACTTTTCATGGATTTCAACATTATATGTGCCATTACAATATTTGCCGTACCACTGAATCTGAAGACTACTTACCAAGAAGACTTAAAGGTCGTGTCCGTTAACAGATGAACCTAATTCTGATGTGTGTCTGTGTATGTGTTATACAGTGACATTCATTTAAAAGTGATATTCTTACATTTGTTTGAAAGACAGTTAATCTGATGAACGTTGATATACTTTTGTTAAATTTACTTGTCAAATGTTATTTCATATACATTTGTTTTCGTAAAGGAGGAGGAGGGTAGCAGATTGATGTAGTGGTCTCCCTTGAACAGTCTGACTGTCTCATTATTTAACTTTGACTGATATATATTTAATTTAATGTTTAATCATGACATTTGCATTTGCATTTGCGTGCTTATTGTTGCGGATGCATGAATTTGCTAGATTTTCAAGTTTAAAAATGAAGATGTGGTATGATTGCCAATAAGACAACTCTCCACAAGAGACCAAATGACACAGAAATTAACAGCTATTGGTCGCCGTACGGGCTTCAACAATGAGCAAAGCCCATACCGCATAGTCAGCTATAAAAGGCCCCGAAATCACAAATGTAAAACAATTCAAACGAGAAAACTAACGGCCTAATTAATGTACAAAAAAATGAACGAAAAACAAATATGTAACACAGCAGCAAACGACAACCACTGAATTACAGGCTCCTGACTTGGGACAGAATTAATTTATGAAATTTATCGTTTGTGTTAGGGGGAAGAAATGTAGCAGACAGGACTATTATGTATTTGTTATTTTCCTTGTTTAAAACTATAAATTTCATATTTCTTTATTGAATAATTTACATGAAGCTTATTCAGTATATATTTGTTTACTTGAATAGATATTGCTATTTTGAATTCATTGGTTAAAGATATTAATTTATATTCCAAATTTTAGTATTTGCATCATCGCAAATCATTTATAACTTTTTTTGAAAAAAATATACATTTTATATTACTGGTTTAGAATTGTTATATAGTATTGTCTGAGGACTGATGTTCAGTCAAAGCTAGGAAAGCTGTGCTTTTCAAAACCTCCCTTTAAGGTTAGTGCATCTGCCATATGCCTTCTTAATACGGATAATTATTGAAGTCATTGAATGCTCCATTTATTCACTTTGTTGATTAAATCATATATTGCTTTCACTGTTTTTGGTTATTATTTACTTAGATATTTAGATAGCGCTCTTATATTTGGCATCTCACAAACTCGAACAAGCTGTGGTCCACATTCCCGAATCTCCAGCAGAATTGCTCCTGCTCCTGCTACACTTTCAATCAGTTTAATTGAGGTCTGGAGCTGGCATATCAGTAACTGCTAGAAGTCCTTTGTTATTATGTGTGTCATTGTCATTTTGTTGTTAGGTTCTTTTGTTACCTATTCTGTCATCGGACTCGATCTTCTTTTAAACTGTTTTTACTGTGCGTATTGCTGTGTGTTTTTTTTTATTCTACATTGGCTAGAGGTATAAGGGGAGGGTTGATATCTCACAAAACATGTTTAACCCTGCAGTATTTTTTGCGCCTGTCCCAAGTCAGGAGCCTCTGGCCTTTGTAAGTCTTGTACGATTTTTTTTTTAATTTTAGTTCATTTATATGTTTGGAGTTTAGTATAACGTCCGTTTTCACTGAACTGGTACACATTTTTGTTTAGGGGCCAATTGAGGCTCGCCTCCGGGTGCGGGACTTTTGTCGCTGTGTTGAAGACCTGTTGGTAGCCTTGGACTGTTTTCTGCTCTTTGGTCGCGTTGTTGTCTCTTTGACACATTCCCCATTTCCATTCTCAATTTTATTACAATTTGGTAGAAGACTAGGGAAAATGTTACATACTAAAACCAGAACCTTTCTGTAAATGTAGACAAATTGGAACATCTGAACACTTTTTATTGCGTTGTCCCAATATCAATTCCTTAGAGAGCTTATGCTGAGTAACTTGTCATGTCGGTCTAAAATACATAACTTACTGTATCGTTATCCTTTTATATCCGACATTGAAAATACTAATGACTTTCTTAATATTTGAGATTTTATTCTTAAAACAAAAATATATGTGTTAATGTCATATACATGCATTGAGATACATAATTATATATTTGAAAATTGGCATATATCCATATTCATATTACCTTGTGGTATGGTAGCACTGTAGTATTGTATAGAATTTGTTCATCAAATACTTCTTTGTTCAGTAAAATACTTTATTTTTGACGCCATCCATCTATTATTATATTATATAGGAGAGGAATTTGTAAAAGTAAAAAAAATCTCTAATTTCGAATCCTAATAAAACTGTCATGCTGAAATGTTTATGTTATTTTTTTCACAATAAAATATCATTTACACTAAATGAAGGGAGATGTGATTTTTCGGCAAATATTCACAACAAAGACCAACGTCTTTCTCATAATTTAAGTTACATTTAGAAGAGGTATTAATTCAAACTGCTTACGTCAGAAATACTTTTTACAGGATATTCATTCTTGAGAACTTATGAAATTGAACGTACGTTTACGAAATTTTATATAGTTATAAAAAGAAATAAAGATCATCGTTAAAGTCATATGATACGAGGGACTGGTGAAAAATAATGTTAATCCAATTCTTCAACATTGTTGAACCAATGCATGTATATATCATAAACTTAGTCTTCTGTGCACAATTTTATCATTTTTTACACATCCATATCGTATAATCGTCAAAAAAAATATTTCACTTGGTCAGTGTTGTGAAAATATGGCAGCTAAATAATAGTCGTGTTTTGAAGCCGAAGTTTACCGATTGTCACCTTTGTAAACAATCAACAAAGAAGCATGGATATTCAGGTAAGCACGTGTATAACATGTACAATAAGATACAGTTTATTTCGATGACGGAGCGATGTTTACTTTGTTAACTATCTCTGCTAATTTGGTTTTCCCCTTCGTACTTGCGTATTGCGATCACCAGATTTTTACGAGAAAGGTCATGTTGAGGTTACTGCATACAGAAAACATATCGGCGAATTGTTGTCTGGGAAGTTAACAATTAAAAAAGAGTAAATTTCTTCTAAATTTGGACAAATTAAAGAATTTTCTTCAGAAAGAAGTATATGTACATAAGTTTTATAATAAAAACTAGCCATTTAGTTATAAAAAACATATGCATCATTTTATTTTTTTAATTTGAAGTTTCATATGACTTTAAAAACATCATGTCAGATTTAAGGAATCCACCTACTATGTACATTGATTGAGCCATTTTACTCAATATTTGATATACGATATATATCATATAATATAGATCGGATTTTATATTTATAATACCAGTCTGTAAGACGAACTTTGAATTATAATCCAATTAGTTCATGAAGCCAGGATAACCAAATGTAAGTTTTCAAAATTATTTGATGAATTCAGTCACGTTATTTCTATATATTAACTTATCAAATGCCAAAATCTTTGTCGACGCTTTCATGAAACTTCTGTTTGTATGACTTTGGACTAATAGGATACAACTTAGAATTATGATTTTTTTTTTTTTTTTTTTTTTTTTTTTACAACTAGGATGAAATAAAAATAATATAGTATACATCAAGCTATGTGAAAAGGATTTTTGCCCCCACCCAACCCACATCTCCCATATACCCCCTAATACGCATCTCCTACATGTTGTAAACTCAGTTACCGATAGCTTATTTCGTATTTTACAGACGAATATCTACAAAAATACTTCTTTGTATGTGAAATTTCAGAATTTTTAAAATTCATGGATATATTCGATGATCCATTTATATATTAAATTAATCCTGAGAACAGAATACAACGTGTGTATAAAACTATCTTTATTGTTTATGGTGTGTTACTATGAATGTTTTGCTCAAAACGGCCATACAATCTATGTTCTCATATTGGTTTCTCTCAATTCCTGAATTTCTTCGAGTGTCATAAAGTCATTTTCATGATGTTCTTCTAGTTCGTTATTACCACCAGCATCATCATCGTCACTGGAGTCACTCTCAGGTAACGGATCAGCCTTCAAAGTAAGATCAATGTCTGCATATGGCGTTTTTTTGTCAGATCCATGAATAAAGAAGCTCGGCGTTGTTTTCCGGGAGTTGAATTCTACTTCGATATAATTCAAGATATGGCTTTCAAGATTCTACAATTATATTCCAAGCAGCCTTTAGTAGATGAGCAATTTATATAAAATTATAACATAATGAAAGTGTTCATGTATAAGCGTTCTATTTTATTTTCCCCTGCAGTAAATGAAGCTACTTTATGGACTAGAAATGCGTGGTTTGTTTACATATGCAAGTTCACAAACATCTGCATCTGCTTAGGAAATTTTGGCACGTATATTTTTCAAATTATATATCGTATAGCAGCAATTAAATATTTCAGATACAATAACTGTTTCGAGTACTACTTGCTCGAAATGGACCTAAATGATTGAAATGCTCGTATGCCAAAGACGGAATGCACACAAAATAACACTGTAATTGTTATATATGAATTTAACTAACGATGATAATTGTAATACAATCGAACGTGTTCATATCTAATGAGCAGGTTTAATTGGTTTGGTTTCGATGGATATTTCTTCTTTTTATGATGCTATAGTATCGATGCTATCGGTAATCAAATATTGAGAAATCAACTATGAATCATATTTATTGAGGACAAAAAAAACCAACTTCTTACCTTATTTCTTGAGTCAACATCTACTGATTTCGACGCGTGTGCAGTTTTCCTTAAATCAGACATTTGTAATTTATCGCTATCATTTGTTCTCTCCAATTGTAAAGATTTATTGCCATTTGTCTGGATCTCAGGAAGATGAACTGGAATTGTACAAATCGATCAGTCAGACTTATTCAATAAATAAATGCCCATTGCATGTAAACAATAAAATTGGTGTTAAGACATGCCTAGCTATGTTATATATTGGACGGAAGAAGAAAAGACCATAGTTATGAGTGCTTTAAATGTAACTCGATTTCGTTGCAGAAAACGCGTGTGGTTATTCACATCTCATGTCGTAAACCTTACTACAGTAACATAAACTTAGAAATTTTTAACTAAATCTTTAAAAGTTACTTGAAAAAGTTCAATGTGTGCAAGAATGACTACACATAACCATATTTTCAATGTATGGCAACAATTATTAATCATTGCATATGAAATCAAATACTTAAAAAAAAAATATGAAACAAGTACTGAGTAACAAAAGTTTAGCAACATATATCTTAATTTTAAAAGTTTTAATTAAACCATTCCAGAGTTGAGAAATACATCCTATAATCAAGTTTGTGTCGAATAAACCTGGAATCTTATAGTGTATTTTCTGTGAAACAAGAATCAATTATATTACCGTCATGTTTAGATGTACAGTTTATTTTTCGGAAATATAAAATTAAAAATATTTCCTGATTTTCTTTTACTCAGTACACGTATATGCATATATTATTTTTTATAAGTGTGAAAGATATCTGACAAAGAAACAGGGGAAAATATACACAAATCAATAGGTGTTTTAGATATTAGTTACCTAAACCACACCCTTTTCCTTTTGCTATGCTACAGCTTGGATTCAAAGTTGCTCTATATGAAACCTGCCCTGTTTCTAATCTGTGTCTTCTATCAATGGAAGAATATCCCTCCGCCTGCGTATCCTGCGTTTCATTGAATCTAACAAGTGAGTCAGCCTGTTAAATTGTCAAAACGAAGTGAAGTAAAAATTTAGAAAGCGATGTTCATTTCTTGTTTTAGGAAAATTTTCGAGAATGTTAAAAATTGAATAAAAAAAAATCCTCATTCTTTGCAAACATTACATATTTTTTCTAATGCACAAATGAAATGTAAAAATGAGAATGGAAACGGGGAATGTGTCAAAGAGACAACAACCCGAACAAAGAACAGAAATAACAGCCCAAGGCCACCAATGAGTTTTCAACACAGTGAGTAAATCCTGCACCTGGAGACGCGCTTCAGTTGGCATCTAAACAAAAATGTATACTAGTTCAGCGAAAATGGACGTCAAACTCAACTCCGAAACATATAAATGAACCTAAATATAAAAAACATACAAGACTAACAAAGGCCAGACTTGGGACGGGCGAAAAAAATGTGGCGGGTATAAATATGTTTTGTGAGATCTCAACCCTCACCCTATATCTCTTGCTAATGTAGAATAGACAAACACACATCAATACGCACAGTAAAAATCAGTTTAAAAGAAGTCCTGGTCCGATGTTAGAATAAGTAACAGAAGAAACTAAGCAAAATAACAATTATCAACATAAATTAACAAAGGACTACTAACAGTTACTAACATGCCGGCTATCTACTTCTGACTGTTACTAATTATATGTAAATGAAAAATTTAAAAAAAATCTAAAAAGGGATATCGTTTTCAGTCCTATATATATAAACTCATAGTAATTATCGTCCTTAAATGTATGACAAAGCGAACGACTTTTCCTTTCATTAATGCTATTACGGTTCCATTGTCTTCTATTGGTAATGTGTATTTTCTTTAAGGTTTGATACGCGTGTTTTTAAAATGACATCACGGATTTCAAGACGCCATTTTTACCTTTTCAAAAGTACAAATCTATCAACAAAAAAGATGTGAATATGTTAAATGGACCAAAGCTTTCGGGTTGTTTTTTGTATCTCATTGACATATCACCTTTATCTATATTTCTTAAGTCGTCTGACAGTTTTGATGTAAATAAACAATAGGTATATCTCAACATTCTGAATATTTCCCCCCTCGTCAGAATTTCTCTATCTATAGTTTCAAGATAAAAGGGATGCATTACATTTTACTCCTATGAATTTTTTTTTTAGTCATGTCGACTATGTTGGTTGGCAAGCATGATCATTGGATTTATTTTGTAAACTAGCTTCAGAGGAGATTTTTGTAAAAGTTAAAGGACGACGGTGGACGAAGACGACGCTAGACGACGGACACTAAGCGATCGGTAAATATCACACTGGTCCTTCGGGCCAGGTGACCTAAAAGGGAGAATACTTTTAAGCATATTGTATAGCATTTTGATACCAATATAACTGATCAGTAAAGCCAGGTATATATTTAAGGTATACACACGGTTATAGGTTGCACTTTGTAAATATAGCTGTTTCTCAAACCACGCCTCTTTTGGGGAGATATTTAATATTCATAGGTATGTTAATTTGTTAACGTACTGGTTCCCATTGATGATCTCTGTGTTTCATCTCATAGAGACATCACTTGGGAATGTAACCAGTATTGAAAAACATGGTAGCGGCTAAATTTTAATTCTTAGGAGGTCCAAAAATGGAGGTAAGGGTAGTATAGAATTTTAGTATAAGTTTAAACTCTTAGAAGTTCAGGGCATATAAATGTTGAAAATATGCCGCACAGCCCTATATTTTGACCTTTGAATAAAATAGTAGTGCATATAAACTTTCCGTTCTGGGATATTATTTTTCACGAAACTTCATAGTAAAAGTGTCACAGTTTTAGCCGCAAAGGGAGTTCCTATGGGAAATTGCATTGTCAGTATTTACAGAATTGCAACCTAAAACGTACGCATCTAAACCTAACATCTCATGTAGAAAACAAACATGTAGACGGAGACAGATAAACAGAAAACAGAGATGGTTTGTTCATTTGCTATGGGATCAACGTATTCCTCCAATAAAATTTATGTAATTCATGTGGTTTTTTTTAATTCCTCAACTGTTATAGATATATTTCTTTGCAATAAGTAGATTATAAATTTCTGAAGAATCACTTGATTTAAATGGAAAATGACTTCACGCTCGCAAAACTGTAGAAAATTATCTTCCAAACTTTCAAATTTGTAGAGAAAATAATGAAAACATATGAGATTAAGCCTGTCAACTGAGTTAATATAAAGATCAAACGGATTAAATTACATTTTGATATGAAGTTTTTCTTTCGATTCGCGTTTTCGAGGATATCAAATAAAAATAAGCATAACATCAAAGATGATTTTAGCAGAGTTTTCTTTCTCGAGAATTATTTTAATCTTTAAAATATATGATTTAATTTATTTCATATAATATCATTTCAGCTACATACATGTACATATGTAAAATATGTTTCCCTTGAATTGCGATGTTCTTGTTAGTCAGTTTTCAATTAGTATCGCCTTGAACAGGAACACATCATTTCATTGGTACAAATATAACATTCATATAGTAAATTGTAACATTTCTACGATTGATTTCGTGAGTTTGTTAAGGAACCATATTATATTAATCAAAAACAAACACTGATTAATATACATGTATTCAATTTTTCGCATAATGCACGAAAAGGATAACAGGAGCCCCCATATATTGGACAGTACTAAAGACTACAACCCCACCAACATCCGACATCCCACTCTAACGTACAAAAACCAAACGTACAAATGAAGACAGTTGAATTGTACTGATATTCCGACTTTAGCCAGGCAATCAATTGGATTGGTTAATCCAGTTGTACGAGCATACATTCTTTAAGTCTATCTAGACATATATAAACTTGATGTAAAAGTAAAACACACTATAAACACTGTATAGCACAGCTACCAACAGGGTGGTAGTGAACTTGTGCCAGACTTGCTATAACTAGTCTTACTTGCTATAACTAGTCTTTATCAAGTCCAGTCAAAGCAAGTGGTATTTTTAATCTGGAATGATTAAAAGTTGAGTCACATGTTGATATTTTTTGGTCGATATTGTTTGTTTATCAAAAGCCACCTTTCCCAAATCTGGCTGTTTAAAATCATTACATACAAAATGAACACTTGTTTGTTGTTTGAAACTGAGTGATTTTATGGTTACGTTGTGAATATATCTTCTCATAGGCATATACCCCTCATTCCGTTTATGATTTCGATCCCCTCCGGTGTTTCTTTTTATATACTTACTCTTTTAAATTGAATCAAAGCTGAAAAACAAAGAGATAGTGTTTGAAGTACGAAAACGAATTGTATTTTTTCCCGTTCATGTGCAGAAACTACTTAACATGATTTTTGCAAGTAAAATACCAGCTACGATTCAATTAATGGTACATATGGGTGTTTTATCACCCTGAAGAACCCAAGTATACCATGAGGCGAAGCCAAAGGGTGTACAGGATACCGAAGGGTGTTACAATACCAATATCTACGGAACTGAAAGTAGATAACAAATTTAACTCCGGTCTTAGTCCGGATTGAGCGATTTTGAAGAATTTTGGACACAAAGTGTAACTTGAAAACAATGTATGTTTTACTATTTAAAATGGTTTTATTGAAATTTGGAAATCAGACATATTTTTACGGAATGTAGGGTACTAGCAATGGTAGAACCCTACGGGTATTAAAATATAAGACGTTTTAAATACAGAGACAGCGAATCTAGAATTAATAAAATTTGGCGCAAAATATCGCGAGCGTTGCGTCATAGACGGCGGGACGTCAACGCGGGTCATTTGCATAGGTTGGTCCCATCCGTAAAATAATCAGTATGCCTTATGATTATGCAAATATTATCAAGCTTGTCAAATTACGACCGGGTACCAGTCTACATTCGCATAACTAGGACAGTAGTCCCGTTCATTGACGATGTGGTAGCCAAGGGATGCAATTACTAAAAAATAATGCCATTGATCGGTATAAAAAGAAAAAATCGTTAGTGGATTACATATTTAATTACAGATAATCTAAAGAATTAAAATTTTCAATTAGAACAACAACGGAACAAAGGAAAACGCGCATGAGGTTTCCCGGGGGTAATGTGTAGCAACACCCGGGGCTGTGGGTTTTTAACGACGTGAATCAGTTAATCAAAATCCGAGAATCATACGAAGCCGGGGATAAGTTTTCTTGCCTGTCTAGTGAATGAGGAACGTGAGCAGTTTAATTTAGTGTTTATGAATTAATCCACAATTCTTCTAAACTGTTACAGAACATCAACTGCTAGCATACGAACTATCTTAAAACACTTTAAGAACACATGTCATCAATTTGTAAATCATAACTCATTTATTTTAGTATATATCTTAAAATGTAATCGTCTTAGCTTTCTTATATACTCTCTAAGAGGAGGCTTATAAATAATACATGTATATATGAGCTATTATGATACGACATCCAAACATGTACAGCACTAACAAACAAACGAAACCTTGAAATCAATATGCAATCTTTTATAATAGACAGGTGTCTAGACAATATGGCTAAATGTAATTCTCTTTACAATTTAGTTGATTATACACATGTTTGTGTATGAAGCAAACTTATATATATAGATATTTAAATAGAACGGCGAAGCGGATTAATACATATATTAAAAAAATATTCGGTTTTACGATTCGCTCCCAATGGTAACGATTGGTCGATAGAGCAAAGAAAACATATTCAAAATTAAAGAAGTATACAAATCTTACAAACATACCTCTTTTTACACTCAGGACTAATACAACAACAAAGGCTACACCACCCATCAAAGACATTCCGACGATATCATAAATGGTGGAAAATTCTGAACCTATATTCAGGAATAATGAAACCATGAAAACACAGTCTTATATATTTCATAATAATTATTAATTTGTGATAACTTCATTGTGAATTAAGCAAAAGCGTTACATAAGTCGTTAAATTTGTAATCATTTACATGCGTTTGACTATTGGCGACAGTATGACACCATGTAATGATG